GTTTTTAAGATAACTGATGCGACATTAATAACTCGTGATATATTTATGTGACAGTCACGCGTAGTGTGCAGATTTGTGTTTATCCCAGGAAATAAGTGTGAAAAATCTGATACAGATCGAGCAAAGACATTGAAAGTTCATAGTGTTAAATCAGGTGTATGCAGGTTTTGGTGGTCGTTTATATTTAGTCCGGATTCCCAGAGAATAAATATGAAAACTTTAATGTAGATCGAGTAATGAATTTAGGAATTCTCATTGTCTCAGAGAATATATATAATATAAAACATAATAAAAACTAAAAACAGAGAGAACAAATATTCTGTCATTTATATACAGTACTAGAAAAAAGGAACTCAAAACGTAGATTTGAAAAACTCGGAGGATCAAATTTGACACGATTCCAATATTATCCCTTGTTATGCATAGGCACATTAGAACTACAACAGTAAAAATGAAACATTATTTTATAAATATTCTATTTTCAAATCATTAGACTTGTATTAATATAATCACAGTTCTCACCCCGCACACTAAATATTTTAACTTTTATCCAAATCGATTCGTTGGTCTCGGAGATATTAATGGTCAAATTTGGCACTTTAACATTAGAAGGGTGGCCGAGCTCAATTATACCGATGTTAAATTAATAAATATTACACAATCGCATGAGAATTCATTAACGATGATACCATTTACTGTTAACTACAAATTAGATTTGTGACTGAAGAAGTGTTGAGTTTCGATTTGTGAATGATAAATTGAATTCTGTTTACGTTTCAAAATTGACATTTATATATGAATGCTTAAATAGTGATGTTTTTTCATTTTCTTTTGTTCAAAAATTAAATTCAAATAAGAATAATTTATATAGTCGTTGTTGCAGGAGCAGGAAGAAACAGATCCAGAAGTAGTCAGAGCATCCGAAATCCAAATAAACATGAGAAAGAAAAGGTTGGAGATGATAAAAAATAAAAAGAAAAGTCCTGATCCCGATACTCCGCCAAGTTCACAATAACGCGAATATTCAATATTGATGTTATCTAATCCATTTTTTTTTCAAAACTTGCAAGAAGAGATTTTCAAACTGGAACACTTTCATGCGAAATTCATACGATTGGCTTCTAAATTCTAATTTTTAAAGAATAAAACTAGTTTCGTGACAGGGTGTTTATTGTCTTATATTTGTAATTGTTAATAATTGAATAACACACATATTAAACAATTAATTACTTTCTCGGCTCTGTTGTATACATAACAGAAGAAAAGTTTGGCGATAGGCAAAAAATAATCCTAGGATTTATACATTTTTGGACTCAAAACATGTTTCAACGTCGAGAAATGCAAAGAAGTTTCGGGGTAATTTGTGTATGCATAGATGTTATTGTGTATGTGGGGCACTATTTTGTTCATCCTGTTTGAAACTTAATAACTCGTGTGCTTTTTGTCGAAAATTTGTAAAAGATTGCAGGGTAATTTATATATTAGCGGAATTAATACTATTAAATTTTGTTGGTTAAAGAACTAGGAATGGAATAATGAACGGGAATTCTGTCATATTTGGAGAAGGGCCGGACTCGATGACTATTTTTCTCGCTATAAGAATATAGAACCTTTCTGTAAAATCCATCCGTACTATCGAAACTTTCTGGGCAAAAAGAGAACCATTTTTTCATGAAAATTGGCCGAAAGAACTTAGACAGTCAATGGAAAGGCGAGATGAAAAATAAAAGATATCAAGAGGAATTAACGCGATCAATTCGAGAAAAGAGAGAAGCAAAGTATGCTATTGCAGAGGAAAAGACGAAAGAAATTNGTCTAGAAAAAGCGAAAAAACCGTATGATCAACTGGAAACGACCTTTGCCTTGGCAACCAACGTTCAGTGAGAAGTTGATTTTAGAACTCAATATAAGAATCGCCATAGTTTAAATTATATCTGTCCGATTTTAACGAAATTTTACGAAAAATTTACGTAAATGGTCCTTAAAGAAATACCCAAAAATTATTTTGATAGGTCCAACTGGAAGCCTAAAACTCGTGTTCCACCGCCGACCGGAAGTAACATTAAAAGGTCAGTAAATAATGGGTCTAGAACCCCAAATTTTGGTAACCAGAGTTCTATAGAGGTCACGGATAGAATCCGATAACAAAATCCGGTAAATCAAAAATTCAAAATCCGGATAACCGAAAATTACGGTTTTAAGCAAATAATTTAAAAAGGGGTGGGATTTAAAAGTCCTACTTGACGTTATGTCAATCCTCTTGCCTTCCGATATACGTAAACACTAAATATAATATCCTCCGACCTGAATTACCGCAAAAATCACAAAATAATCACAGAGCACATTTGTAGCATCCAATCCTCGAACATTTCCGACTGGGGTTGTTATGCCTTTAATACATTCTTCTATACCAAATTGTTAAACAGTGGTCACAGTGCATTGAAAAGATAGACGAGAAACGTTGACATTTTTGAATATGACACGCCGCTTATTTCCGTTCACACAGGAATGCACCGGTGTTTAGCTGTTATTCACAATCGACATAAAAAATATTCATTGTTATGATTCTATGGGTGGGCGAAATGGTGGATGTTTAAATTCGCTAAGAACATATTTAAAGATGAGAGAATAAATAAAAAGAAAGAAAAATTCGATATGAGTATATCGGCACTAGAAACAGTAAAAAAAACATACCACATCAAATGAATAAAAGCGTTTATGGAATGCTTACATTGAAATATGCGGAGTATATAGCGAGAAATGCAAGAATTAATTTCACACAGGGTCATACGCCTTATTCTCGTCGGCAAATGGCTAACGAAATTTTGAAGAAACAGTTATTGTGACGAACGTCAAATCTACGACGATCCGTACGTAAATTATTATTTTGCCACTCGCAAAATAAAAATATAATTTCACCTCCACGAGTTTCCAGCTTTTTATATTTACATAATCATTGCTTACGAGAATTTTACTAGTATGATGTAAAGTTATCATTACGTGCGAATAAACGTACGAGAATTTATTTACATTGTAAAGTTATAATTTAAATTAAATGTCATTTATACAAGAAATGTCATAAAAGTTGCATGAAAAAACTCATAATTTCATAACTGTAATTATGGTAAATCTTCATTTCCTTAACTTTTCTTTTTAATTTCCTGGCATAGAATTATAAAAGGCAAAATGGATATAACGATTTAACTGAACGAAATTTAGTAATTTTTAAATGAAACGTTGTAAATTAAATTGTTATTTTCTTTATTTTGAAATGTCTATTATTGTACATATGTATTACAATATCAAACAAGTTTATGTATGAAAAATTTTGAATTCCGTTTCTTATACGGGATATTTATTTTGTCGAATAAATTGTCAAAGCGCTCCTTGTTATAGATAATATAAAAACCTAAAGCCCGAACTATTAATAATATAAAAGCCGTCGTAAGTGTGTGTGAATTTTTTGTAACTCCTGCAGTTTTTGTCCAATTAAAATGAAATTTTGGTTTTATTCGTTCTATATTCTAACGGAAAGTATACGCTACTTATTTTATCGAAATATTAGCTCTAAATTAAACTTTTCTTATTTTTCTGAAACCGTGTCCTCTTCTCTAATTCTGGCTTAGTAAACACTAGTATTGCGTTGTATTCCGAAGACCCGTGGCAATCTTTTTTATCAAATATCTTCATTACTGTAGTTGAGTCGATACGGTACATTTTGTACTCGTTTCTTCAATCAACTATAATACAATATATATTTTTTATCTATTACAGTAGAGAGTTTACATAAAAAACAATGAGTACACAAACGATATATAGACTTACCTTTTGGTTACACTTTGTATAATTTAAAATCTTGTAGAATCTGCTTTAATTCCTTGTGGATAAACCAGTATACGTTACAAATTAAAAAGGGGGTAAATACTTCCAAAATCTTTCTTTTTACATAGGCTTTGATACGATACGACTGTAANTGAGTACACAAACGATATATAGACTTACCTTTTGGTTACACTTTGTATACAGTAGATCCTCGATTATCCGACCCCAGATTAACCGACCATCCTAGTCGGCAAATTTAAAATGTCCGCTAGTGACGTGGCGCTACAATATTTGGTTATGTCTTGGCTACTTTAATATTATTTTTACGTGTTTTAGCTGGCAACACTCATTCGACCATGAAAGGGAGCCAGTATTTAAACAAGACTTAATTTTCTAATTTTTAACGATACAATATCGACGATTATTATTTTTCAAAAAATTTAATAGGCTTAACATGGACAAAAATTCAACGTAAAGTAGGTTAATAGCGATATACTAATATACTAATATAATAATATACTAATTACACGGGATATAATAATATACTACACTAATAATGGATTTGTTCATACTTTTCGGTTATCCGACCAACCCCAGTCCCCAATTGAGTCGGATTATCGAGGCTCTACTGTATTTAATATAAAGAAATTGAATATTTTAATATAAAGGCGTAACTCCTACTGTTTCTGTCCACTTTAGGTAAAATTTAATTTTATTGCTATTTATGTTACCACAAATAGAGTAAACTGCTTAATTTTTAGAGATATTTACGACTCTCATTCCACATTTTTAATTAAACGCACTATTATAAAATTTACGTGTATTAACTTCATGTTAACATATGGATGAATACCTTATCAGGCAAGATTAATACGGTAATATTCAAATTGTTATAATTAAAACACTAACGACGTGACGAAATTATTGTTAAAGAAATAAAAGTATTTAAATGTGCAATAAATTTTCAATAAATATGAGATTTATATATTGTTGAATTATTTTCTTTCACGAACTTTTGTCAAAATATTGCAGAAATCATTAGGTTCAATTCGNAATACGGTAATATTCAAATTGTTATAATTAAAACACTAACGACGTGACGAAATTATTGTTAAAGAAATAAAAGTATTTAAATGTGCAATAAATTTTCAATAAATATAGAATTTATATTTTGTTGAATTAATTATTTTCGTTTACGAAGATTTGTCAAAATATTACAGTAATCAATAAGTTCAATTCGTCTTAAATGTCGAATTTAGGAGCTATTTACAACACTTTTGCGTGAAATAAATAGAATTAGAAATACTCTCGTTGAAATTTTTAAAAACTGGATGGAAAATGAATAGATATTGAACATTCGTAGGTTATTGTAATGTTGGCGGAGTATCAGAATCAGGCGATTTCTTTTGTTCATTTATCTCTTCCAATCTTTTCTTTCTCATGTCCATGAGAATTTCGGATGCTCTGACCACTTCTGAATCGATTTCTTCCTGTTCCTGCAACAACGAATATATAAATTATTATTTGAATTAAATTTTTATACGAAAGAAAATGAAGAAACTTTCTTTCGAATAAATGTAAATTTTGAAATGCAAAAATAATTCAATTTATCATTCACAAATTCATTCTCAACACATCTTCGGTCACAAATCTAATTTTTAGTTAACAGTAAATGGGTATCATCGTTAATAAATTCTCATTCGATTGTGTAATATTTATAACATCGGTGTAGCAGAGCTCAGCCACACGTCTGAAGTTAAAATGCCGAATTTGACCATTAATATCTCCGAGAAAAACGAACCGATTTGGATAAAATTTTAAACGTTTAGTGTTCGTGGCGAAAATGGTGATTATCTTAAATTTTGAATAAGTTCGTTGGAATATTCTGAATCTAGACAATCGCAAATTTAGCATTTTATCCAGTAGATTTACAATGGGAAAGATTTTTGTCACACCAAGCTACCAGAAAATGTAGAAATAGTCCTGAGTTCTTTCGAGATCTGTCCACCTCTTCTGTAGTCTTTTTGAAGGTTTTATTTAAAAATAATGGGTATTTATAAAATTATAGCCTATTTTTTAAATATTAAAATTTCACTTGACCATCGTTTTGCGATTACTTTTAAACTATTAATACAAGCCTAATGACTTGAAAATAGAATATTTATAAAATAATGTCTTATTTTTACTTTTGTAGTTCTTATGTGAATATACATAACAAGAGACCGTATCGAAATCGTGTCAACTTTCATCAGCCGATTTTTTTCAAATATACGTTTTGAGATTTTTTGTCTAGTACTGTATATAAATCACAGAATGTTCTTAAGTTTTTTAATTAAATTCTATATTATATATATTTTCTAGGACATAGAGGAAAATATAGACTACACGATAATTTGCACACTCCTTAATTAACATTCTTTATTAACTTTTAATGCCTTTGCTCGATCTGTACCAGATTTTTTACACATTTCCTTGGGACACAGAAAAATCTGCACACTACGCGTGACTGTCACATGAATATATCACGAATTATGAATGTCTCATAAGGTATCTTAAGAACTGTTATTTTATAAAGTTATCTGTAACTGAAAAATACTCGAAATCTGATTTTAAAAAAACTGCTGAAACCAGGTTGAATACGTACAGCTCGACAGAAACATCATAATAAAGGTGACTGTTTCCTCCAAACCTTGCTGTAGTTGTAGTCTATGTGATGTGAACTTTATTGACATCGACAGTCTTACTCTCAAATCTTTCACTATTCTTATGCCAGAACATTTAAAAGTTTCGTTTATTTCTGTTGAGCTCTACTTTTTCAATTTGGTTTCACCACTTATTTATTACATATACAAGAAGTATATTGCAATGTATTTTACTCATAAAATCGTAAGAAACTCGATTTTACTACAAAATTTACTTTCCTATACTATTATTTACTTGCACTCCAGCCCTGGTGCGCGCGAGTAAATTATAGTATATAAGGGCGGGTGTTCTGGTGTCTTTTCCTAACTTAAACTGAATGTTTATTTACAAAGTACTAAAACTATTAAACAGAATACAACAATTAAATACCTTTGATGTGCAAGGAGCTCCATCGACGTGTGTCTGTCTATGTACGAACCATTCTTTCTCGGAGTTTGTAGTAAAGCGACATTGATGACATTGCCGTAATCTTTCAGAAAATTGCAAACTCTTATCTTTCTCGTTTGTTTTAAGATGTTCCTCTCGCGTCGAACTCGCTGCTGAGATTTCAGCAGAAGTGTACATCCCACTCTGTTCCGAGTTTTTAATAGTTTTTGATATACTTTCTCCTGTAATTTGCTAAACAATTGAAAAATATTGTTAATTATGAAATTTCTTTTATACCATTCTACGATGCTCTTAATTGACAACTAATATCAGAACTACCATAACAATGATAGAATGTCGATGAAAATCTTTACTTAAACATTATTTAAACATAATTTACTTAAACATTACGCAATATTTTTGTTTGTGAATCAACTTGGACCATCAGCGATGTTTAAAATGAGCTATAATTTGTATACTCTTGAGGGCACCGACATTTGTAAAATTTGAGTACAATAAAAAACTTTCTATCTAAAGACATTGTTTACCTCTTTCCCAACGATTTCCTATCTTTGTTTGTTTATTTTGTTAAGTTATGGCAATGAAACACTTGGCTAGGTAGATGCCTTCCTGGAAGTCTTTTAAGGGTAAGTGGCTTTTATTCGGGCGTTACAGACGTAGAGAAAACCCGGAAATCTCCACGTGGCCAGCCCATCCAGGCGAGGCGCGAACCCAGACCCAACTGCCAGGAATCGCTTGGCCAATGGTTGACCCCGATGTGATATGCATCCTTGGGCCAGGTATAGCAGTACCTTCAGAACGCATTAGCAAAATTGAAGATTTGGGGTTTCTTTTGTGTATTTATTTAAACTTAATTAGTAACTGACGCATTGACTTGTGATCTAGATGGCCGGGAATCAATTTTCTTAAATAATCAAAAAAAATATTAATTGCTGCGCTTAATTTTAAGCACGGTATAGTACTACATGCGCATCAGAGAATTCGGTGTATCAGTTTTGCTTCCTACGCTATTTTATGTTTACTATATTCCTGTGACGTTAATGATAAACGACGTTAGAGTAAAAATCTCGTGTTTATTTTGTATCTTGATTAATTTTTGTATCATGGAAGTTGTGGATCCTGTCGTGCATTTTCATGCCTATTATTTATACCTCATATTTAAACGAATTTTTTTACACAGTTTCTTTGGAACGTATCAACTTCTCAAAAAAAGGGAAAGGTGTACTTTCTCAGCAGTAGTAATTCAATCGCTTCACGAATCTTTAATATTGTGAAAACGTTTGTAAATAAGTGTGAATCATACCAATCAACTGCATATTATTAAAAATTATATTTGTCATAGATTTTCAATATTATTATAACAGAAAATACTTCACAAAGACCGTTGCGAAATTAATACATTTACAATTAGAAGATTTTCTATACGTAGACCTTGTATATGTTACGATAGAAAATTATAACATATTTTTAACTTATTGTTTATTATAAACTAGGATATTGTACTTATTTAAATATATTTTTATTTACCTGAGACGAAGGCTGTTTTTCTACTGTGGAATGAATTATTCGCCTGTGTTTGTTTAATTTCTCTTCTCGTGTAAATCTTCGAAAACAATCATCACACTGAAACGGTTTTTTTCCCGTATGACTTCTCTCGTGACGTTTTAAAGCGTATGGAGCATGGCAATATTTCAGGCAAACTTTGCATCGATATTTTTCCAAATCCAGAAATCTCGGCGGAAGCTAAGCCAAAATTATATTATACAAACTATTTTTTTATAAAGTATAATACTAATAAACCTTTAGGTATACACAAATTAGTACAAGAATTAGAATAAAAAAAAATAGAATTTTTTATTTGTTGCTCTTAAATTAAAGAAAACGCAATAAAAATGTCTAACAAACACGAATAATCCGAACAGTTAAAAATATAAATTATAATATGAAAATGACATTAATTAAAAATTCTTGATAGTCACTTTAAGTGTTATTTGTTTGTACAAATGTAGCTTGATTTTCCTTCAAAAATTTCCTAATAAACACTTACTTTTTCACTGATATTCGATTCTGTCAAATGTTTTAGCAAAATATGTCTGTCTAAACTCTGTTTCCATATAGTTGAACGATTACAATAGCTACATTTATAAAGTTCTTTTTTCGAGTGTTTATTTTGGTGTCTTCTAAAATCTGATTTAACTCCGGTAGAATAATCACATTCCTCGCATTTAAATTTCTTTTCGTTTGAATGTATGGCTAACTTGTGTGTTTTCAAAGTGTAGATCCGAGTAAATTGTTTCCGACACACGTCACAAGTCAACTTTTCACACTTCGGATTCTCCTTCAGATGTTCGAGAAACTGCACTTCGTTTGAATACTCACTTTTGCACACCTTACATTTAATACCGCCGTTTTCGTCACTCGAAGCAACCTCCTTATAAACAAATACGTCTATATAATTACATGTATAATTTATATTTTAATGTTAGAATATCCAGATCGATAGAAACTGTTTAGGTTTAACAATATTTTTACAATTTTGTATTTTCCTTCATTGAAAGACAAGTAATTCAATAATACGGAAGGTGTTTTCACATTCGAACAATTTTAGTAATGATACTTACCATTCGCTTGCAGTTGTGACAATTTCTGGTTTGAAAAAATACGACAAATTTTGCGATTATTGTTAAAATGTAATTATTACCATTGCATTGTTAAATGAAATGATGTTCATTGTGTTAACATAAGATACAGTAAAACATATGATTAAATATTTGTATAAACAAAATATCAAGGAAGATGAAAAGAAACTTCTTTCAAATGTAATGAAACTTTAATTCGTTACCAAAAGGCGTTCAAAAACCGACTTGTTCTTAAACTAGGGGTCCCCAAAGTGGTCGAAATCGACCCCTTGGGGTCGATAAGAGTTCTCCAGGGGTCGATTGATACACGAGGGTCGAAAGGGGGTCGATTAATACCAAAGAAGATCAATTAAAATATCTAGGAAAAAATAGAATATTTCAATAAAAATTCGAAATACGGATATGATCAACAACATTACTGACTATCCTAGTTATAACTTGAGTTTTGCCTTAGTCTACGCCGCTTTAAGCATGTATTAGTCTGTTTTCGCGCATCCGGCAACTGTACTAGTGTTGCAAACATGTTATGAACGCTGGTAGTTCATTATACACAGACATACGTTGAACTGTTACACTCTAGTAGGGTTGTCACTCTAAGTATCTTATATCTAAATGTAGATATTTTGTCCTTTACAAAGAAAATATCGTAATATATCGAAAATCATTAATATAGTGCAGAAGCGTTTGCAAGAAAAAATGGCCTTTCAAGTAAAAATAAAGCATAACATTAAAAGTGCTCAGCAAGTAAACACAGAAATTAAAACACCTTAATTTTTTGCTGAGAAATATAATTGAAAAACTAACGTTTTCAACTTGATTAACAGGCCATCATCAGGTCTAAAATACGAAAATGGAACAGATACGTTCCATGTATAGAATATAAATATTTAAATCAAAATTTAGAACAAAAATTTTTAAAAATATACAAGAGAAACGGAAGAAAATATAAAAATAACACAAAATAAAATTAAAATATACAAGAGAAACGGGAGAATATATAAAAATAACACAAAATAAACTAAAAAATAAAAAAATATAATAAATCTTCCAATAAACTAATTCTAGCTTGAGTTTTCAGTGAACTTTTTAATCATGTATTTTCACGCCGACGACAGGCTTTCAGCATCTCTCGCATTTAAACATCCCTCACGTAGCCTACTCCTATATATTTCAATCTTCTCCGCCGTCATTAATGTAAAAATGTAGCTATTTAAATCTTCACTGGCACGATCCGATTTTAAATATTTTTCAAACTTGCGAGTACTAAAAGAAAATGAAAAGATTTCCGACTGTGATTTGGAGATATATATTAAACATCTTGATAAATTAAGAGAAGACTTTAAAGCACGTTTCGAAGAATTGGAGAATATGTATGTTTCCGAATGGTTTGCTAATCCATTTGATGTAAAAATAGATAGTGAAGGTAGTGAAACTGGCTTAGAAGATGAATTGAGTGAAATATGTGTAGATCTCGAAGCTAAAGCGTTGTTTAAAAATAAAAACATCAGTGAATGTTGGAGCAATAACAACATTGCCACTAAATATCCCAAGCTCAGAGCAGAAGCCGAACCTTTCTTACTCGTATTCCCAACTTCATACGTGGTTGCCACGTATGAAGTTAAGAATAGTTTTAGCCACGCGAACGCTCTTTTGACAAAACAGAGGGACAGATTGAACTTGGAAAACCTTGGTGATTTGCGACTAAAACTTAGCAATTTTCAACCAAATATCAATAATCTTGTTGATTCTCTTCAGAGACATCCATCGCACTAATATCAACTATTTTAATAAAAAGGTATGTCTACATATTTTTAAGGCATTCAGTAGTAGTCGCAAAATGACAGTAAGAGGTTTTTCATCCAATATAACTAATGTTATATTTTCAAAGATAAGTGTGTATTTTATGTATTATGACATGTACGGTTTAAGAACTATAGGCAAATTTCCATCTATCCATAATTTTGCTATTATTTTTTAAGATTATAAATCAGTGAAAAATATCTCCCTTTTCTGTTAATGTTATTGGGTGGATTTTATAAAATATGGGAACTATAAATTATTTATTTGGGTTGTTATGCGGGTCTCCTTATCGCTTAACATTAGAAATGCAAAAATGATTTAATGTTTTTGTTAAATACTTAATCTGGGGGTCGATAAGAAGGCACATATTCTATAAAGGGGTCGACGGGATAAAAAGTTTGGGGACCCCTAGACTAGACCCTTGGTCCAGCGAGACAAGTTGAGAGCTGATTCTGTGGTGTGGAGAGCTTTGTTTAAAATACACACCAAGTTACACTATATGAACTCATAACATATGCTTTAGGGAATTACACTAATACTCAGCTATTAGGGGAGACCGGGGCACGATCGGCATGTTAAGCTTTACTTAAATTTTGTGTAATAAATACTGCTGTAAACTGAAAAAAAAGCTTTGCATATTGTCTATTGGAATGTTACCTTACTATAGAACTGGTTAAAATCAGTTTGGAAATAAAAATAATTAAA